TCTAAGATTAATCTTAGGGAAAATATTAATATATAAAAATTAATTTATAAATATTTTAACTGTAAATATTAAAATAAAAATTAAGATTTTTTAACTTATATATTTATGACAGATGTTAAACTTTATTAATTGTACATTTTGTAATTAATTTTATATAAATTTTTATGTAAAATTTAAATATAATATAATATAATATAAAAATATAATATAATATAACATTTATACTAAAAATTTATATAAAATTAATTAAAATATATTTATTAATAAATTTTAATTTGTGTTCTTAGAATATATATTAAATAAATCCATAAAAATTAAGATAATTAATGAAGAGGAGTGTACACTGTACATGTTACCATTTGGCTACGCCTGAGCCCCGGACTCCGTTGGCTTTATTTCGTTTGAGGAAAAGACTGTGAAATGAAATTAGTGCATGATTCGCAGGAGGTTTAAGTGTCGAGACCTTTGAAAAAGAAAAAGCTTGTTCAGTGTACCAAAAATAGAATTTGCTTGCTCATTAAAACAGAAATTTTGGCTTTGATTTGTCTTGTGAGTTTCTATTTTTTGCTTTGATTAGCATATATACTAGTCTTGATTAATGATTAGCATGTATACTAGTCTCCAAAATATTCTTCTTCTTTAAAAGGATCATGTGGAATGATCGACAAATGACAAGAGCATATAACAGAAAACGGTGTATATTAATTTTAACATAATTTAAATAAGAGATTTAAACTATTGCCATAACGGATGTAGATAATTAAGCAAAGAAAGCTATCTGCAACTAGAGATTAAAAATTACAATTGCTATATGGATTAAATAGAGCTATTAATGTAGAAAGAGGAGTTACTATGAGCATTAAAACTACTAGATATCCTCACCTATTTAATCAACTTCCTGGAGAGAGCAAAGGATTCTGACACCAAACAGTCCCTAACTTGCAAGTTATCACCCTATTTGTTCTTAAATAAGAACAAACAAGAGAGGTATGGGCATTTTTTAGACAAGCACAAGACTCTCTAGTCGCCTCTATATACTCCCAATCATGTTATCATCTTTGTCAATCCTCTACAAACTCATATTGTCGAAACTCATATTGTTGAAACTCATTAAGGGAACTAGAGTCCTTTTGCCGGCTTGAATATCAAGCTTCCCATGTAGACCATAACTGGCTTCACCAATAGCATCCTTTTCCTTTTGCAATCAGCTGGCTAATCGAAAACTGGTGTGAACCAGTTTCGTTGAATTTGACCCGACCAAGATCCCATCCGAGGAGATGCAATCAAAGTAAGATTCTTGCCCGTTAAATAGGAGAAACCCACTCCATCGACCATATCAATTCCAATCATAACCTTCGAAAATCAACAGATGTAAACTCTAGAAAACTCAAATATGTTGTTGCCCTGTAGTCCCTTGGGTTGGAGTTTCCAAAACAAGACAGTGACAAGATGAAGGAGGAGATCAAAAGGAGGAAGGGAGGGATAAGAAGAAAGGAATGATGAAGGAAGTCTTTTACTAGAGAAAAACTTTAGGGAGGAAAACTCGTCGCCACTACTCTCAACCCTTGGAGCAGTGCACGGAAGTCAAAAATTATATAATTTTTCAAGGAAGACTTTTGAGTGAAATAAATTATATTTTTAATAAATGGTTTGTTCTATAAAATACTTTTTTATTTAAACAAAGTTGATTGTGGATGTTTGCGTTTTTTAAATTTATATATTTATTAAAAATTAATTTCTTGACATTATATTAAAATAAAATTATAAACTAGATCTCCAGTTTTGATGAAAAAAAAAAACTTGATCTCTAGTAAATTAAAATTTTTTAGTTAACTCAAGCATCCAAGCAACATTGTTTAGAAAATATATATACACACATATAATTAAGTTAATTTAGTTAATTGAACTTTTACCTTGAATATGTTATCATAGGTTCAATTATTGGGAATAATTTTCTTTTATTTTTAACTTTGAGGACAGGCAATTCAATTATTAGCAACAATTAATAGTTGAGATGTTAATTAACAAGGGAATGCCCTAGTGTAGATCAAATATTTCGCCCATTTAGCTTCTTTTTTTTCTTTTTTTTTTTGGTTGTTGACTAGAGCAAACCTTTCGCCTAAAAAAATACAAAGGCCTTGGCCAAAATGAATGGTTAGGATTGAAAAACTACTTTAAAGGAAAATCATATATACCCTGCACAAACCTTTATG